CAGGGAGCAGAGTTCATCCAGCTGGGACTCACCCAGGACTCCAAGGGAAATGTCAGCGTTTTGCTCAAGAAATCAAGCGATTACATCATCCCCTTCACGATCAGATTACTGGCATTTATTACAGAACACAGCCCGGGGGCTGTCAGCTTTTGTGATCCTCTGGGAGAATTAGCCAGACTTCCCCCAAACAGCCAGCAGATTGATGGAGGTTATTAGACCTGCCCTGGGTAACTGAGCTCCTCGGCACACAGGCAGGAGTCCTGCAGGATCTGTCCACACTGAAGGCCACCTGCACAACTGCCTTAAAGCCCAGTAAATACTGCACCTTGCTCACAGCCCAGCCCACACTCTGCTGCTAGGGAAGCTGAAATTGGGATATAAATAAAAAAAAATGCATTTTTACAGTTAGAACAAGAGGCTTCATCACCATGAAGAGAGGAGGATTAACACAGCTCTGTGTTTAACCTGGGATTCACTTGTGAAGATCTTCCCTTCACTTGTCAGACCAGTGGTGTGAGCATATTTAAGACCCAGGCAGTGAGCTTCCAGAACACAGCCCTGGGAGTTCAATGGTAACACAAGCTGAGGATTGCCATGCCCAGACTGCCATCCCAGCTCACCTTGACCTTTGGGAGCTCAGGGAGCAGCTGTCTCTGCAGAGCTGCAGCTCCAGGGCACCCCAGGCTGCTCCAGCCTGCACGGGCACAGCTGAACTCCCCTGCCAGCAGCCAGGGCTGCACTGCTGCTCCCTGACAGCTCAGCTGGGAGGGCAGCGAACAAAAAGTCCATGTGCACTTGGCAGGAGAACAAGAGATGCCTTTTTTCCTTCCCCCCACGATGGGTGGTTGCTCTTTTGTAAACAGACAACAGACATCAGTTCAGTCTTCTTCTCATAGACTGGTTCTAAGTGCCCAGAGAGACCCGAAAGCACTGTCAGAATCGACTGGAAGTTCTTGTGTCCCCAGGGCAGCTCTGCCAGGGCACCCTTTGGATCTCACAGGAACACAGGGATGTTCCAAGGATGTTGGAAAACCTGAACTACACAAACAGCAGGTGTGACCCAGTGGGAATCATGGAATGATTTGGGTCAGAAGGGATTTTAAGGATCATTTCATCCCACCCCTGCCATGGGCAGGGACACCTTCCATGATCCCAGGTTGCTCCAAGCCCCGTCCACCCTGGCCTGGGACACTTCCAGGGATCCAGGGGCAGCCACAGCTTCTCTGCCCAACCTGTGCCAGGGCCTGCCCACCCTCCCAGCCAGGAATTCCTGCCCAATATCCCACCTGACCCTGCCCTCTGGCAGTTTGGACTGTTTCACAGGCGTATTTAACTGCTGTGATAATATTCCCAGCTCTGTGTGAAGCACAGAAAGCCACGTGCTCCAGAGGAGGCTCACTCTGAGTCCTCCAGAGAGGTCCCCCCCATTCCAGGGGTCTCCCCAGGAACCCTCCTCCAGGAGCCACAGCTACTCTGTGTACTTTGAAAGTGTATAATAACTATTTCCTACAAACTGTGCATTTATATGGAGCAAGTCAAACCACATCCTGAGGTGGTGCAAGGATGACCCCCTGCCCAGCTATGAACAGTCACAGGATCCCAGAATCAGTTAGGCTGGAAAAGCCCCCTGAGACCATCCAGTCCAACCCTTGACCCACCACCACCCTGACAACCAGACCATGGCAGGAAGTGCTGCCACCAATTCACTCCATCGCCTTAGAAACCACACGTGGAAAAGGCAATCAGAACACCCAGCTCACAGGAGTTCAGTACATTTGGTAAGAGAAAGGCAGCCCAGGAAGGCACTGTGTCAGTCAAGTTTTCTGCACTTTGCCTGAGTGCAATGAAGGGACTGTTGGGAAAATGCACGTTTTGCATCAAAAACAGAATTAAAAAAAAAAAAACCAACAAACCCTTCCTTCCTGAGGATGACTGAGGAGACCTCTCTTCACTGCTCCTCACACAGAGTTATTTAATTTCTGTTAAATCAAGTTTTCTGTTCTGCTCAGGAAGCTGATGCTCCGAAGGAGACAGACCACGCACCGTTTGCACGGGAGGGATTAGTTCCTAACTCCTGATCCTAAATGCTTTTCTACAACTAAAACTGCAATTCCTCCATCAGGAACCTGCCCACCTGCAGCCCTGCCACACACACAGAGCTGAGATTCATTCCAGACAGGTGGATTCACCTCCCCGTGCCCTCCAGAGCCACACAGCTCGTGCTGGCTGCACGAAGGACCGGCCAACACTGCTATAAATACTTCCATCTGCAGTGAAACACACCAGGACATGCCTGTAGTGACAATGCCAGCCAAAAATAACCAGGGGGATCTGGTATGCTGCTTCCAAACTTTGCCAAGTGCTCTTTTCAAAGAGGGCGGCTCCTCGTGCCACAGATCAGACAGAGGGTCCAGCAGTCCCAGCGAGGTTTTCAGTGCATGAGCCATTTATCAGCAGCTCCCAGCCTGGCCCCCGTTCTGACTGCCCACCACACCCCCCAATTTCATGCTCGGCAAGTAAAAACAAAGCCAAGTTGCCGTGGAGGGGCCATCCCAAGTTCAGCAGCTGGGAAACAACAGCCAGGGGCAGCCAGAGCTCCCAGCACTCACCGGGGGCTCGGGAATCCGGGGCCATTTCTGTGGCAAAGAGCAGGCAGAAATCCCAGCTCTCTCTGCTTCCAAGCAGGTCAGTGCTGAGCCAGCCCCAAACCAAGCCTGCTGCTGCTGTGTCCTGCTCCATCAGCAAAGAATCATAAATGGGTTGGGAGGGACCTCAAAGTCCATCCAGCCCCACCCCTGCCATGGGCAGGGACACCTTCCACCAGCCCAGGGTGCTCCAAGCCCTGTCCAACCTGGCCTGGGACACTTCCAGGGATCCAGGGGCAGCCACAGCTTCTCTGGGCACCCTGTGCCAGGGCCTGCCCACCCTCCCAGGGAAGGATTTCTGACAGAAAAGTCCCCTCATGTTGGTCTCCCCACTCCTCAACCCATTGCTTGTGTTTCCCTTAACTTTTGTTTTTCCTTTTATCCTCCAAACATTTCCATTCCTCCTTTCCCTGCTGCTATCCAATAAGAGCTACAATCACAATCCCTGACTACAGGACAAAGACAGGCCAGAAAAGGCCATGCAGCATCATAATTTAAGAATTATTTCATTGCTGGATTCACATTCTTTCCAGAACCCAAATCTCTCCTAACTGGATGATTAGAAGGATTAAGGAAAGGGCCCCCAACAGCAGCAAGAGCCAGAACAGGCCCTGCAGGTCGTGGCTCTGAGACTCCAGTTCTCCCTTCATCTGAGAACCAGCACACAAAGGAAAATCATCACGCAAGCCCAGCTTGTGTGAGAGGATCTCATCTGGAATGAAAGACACTGGGACATTATAGAGGGAACCCAGGAGCTGAAAGAATTGAGTGTGGTCTGCGGAGCACGAGAGCAGAGAGAGCTGCCCACTCAGCTCCCGGGAACTGTGAGCCTCACACACTGGGGAAACTGTTCGGGAACAGCTCGTCTGTGACCCCTGTCAGGCTGCCAGGACCAGGAGCACACGGGGCTGGGGTGGTGGGAATGCTGGGATGGTGGGAATGCCGGGATTCACACACGGCTGGGGCACAGGGAACACAACAGTGCAGCTCTTCCCTGTGCCTGCACGCTGGGATGGGATCAGGAACCTGCCCAGAGCCGGGGCAGTCCCACCCCTGCTCCTGGGAGGGCAGTGCAGGGACAGGGGACACCCCTGTGCCCCCCAAACCCCCACACCGGGCTGGGGCACTGGGGGAGCCTCAGGTGAGACTCTGGTGTCAACCCACTGGGGGGTTACAAAGTGTCACAGAACCCTGGAGCGTCCCCAGCTGGGAGGGACCCCCAGGATCACCCAGTGCCACCCCAGTCCCTGCCCAGGACACCCCAACACTCCCCCCTGTCCCTCAGAGCGTTGCCCAAACGCTCCTGGAGCTCTGGCAGCCTTGGGGCCGTGCCCACTGCCCTGGGGAGCCTGGGCAGTGCCAACCACCCTCTGGGGGAAGAACCTTGTGCTGAGCTCCAGCCTGACCCGGAACGCTGCTGGTTGTCAAACAGGAATTATTTACAAACAATGCTCCCTGGTGATCCATGGCAGTGTTTTCCCTTCACTCCTCAGGGAAAGGCAGAATTCACAGAAAACATTGTTTTCCTACACTCAGACCCCACGTCTCTCCCCAGCTGAAGCAGCAGCTGGACCAGAACAGAAGACATCCATCCCCAGGGAATGTCATCCACAAACCTGTCTGCTCAGCACAGGGACACAATCATGCACTGGCTCCCTTTTCCCAGCAACATTCCCTGACAGCATTCCCTCCTTTCCCTGGTGCCCTTTCCCAAGCCATGGCAATCCTCAGAGATGCCATTTCTTAGAATGGCACTCCTCAAGGACGGCATTCCCAATGGATGGCACTTCTAAGGGATAACATTCCTAAAGGATGGCACTGCAAGGGGACAGCATTCCCAGTAGCACTGCAAAGGGACGGGATTCCCAATGAATGGCACTCCAAAGGGATGGCGTTCCTAAGGAATGGCACTGCTCAGGGACGGCATTCCCAAGGGGCAGCAATCCCAACTGATGCCACTCCCAATGGATGGCACTCCAAGGGGATAGCATTCCCAGTGGCCGGCATTCCCAAAGGACAGCATTCCCAGTCAATGGCACTCCCAGGGGCATTCCCAATGGACAGCATTCCCAACGGCAGGCATTCCCAATCAATGGCACTCCCAGTGCCCGGCACTCCCACTGGCCGGCCCTGCCGTTGCCCGGCTCGTGGCGCCGGGAGCGCAGTGAGGGTGACCGGGGCCGGCGCTCCCGCCCGCGGTGCCCACCCCGGAGTGCCCCTGGAGCGGCGGGAGGGCCCGGCCCGGCCCCGAGCGGGGCTGCGGCGGCGCTGCCCCCCCGCCGGCGCGGAGCGAACCCCGCCGCCCCGCCGGCCCGGAGCGAACCCCGCCGCCCCTTCGGCCGGGCCGGGCCGTACCTCAGGTCTGTGCGGGCGCTGCTCGCGGGGCCCGCGGGGCCGGAGGGGCCGGAGGGGCCGGAGCCGCCCCCGCCGGACGCGCCATCGCCGCCCTCGGCCCGTCTGAGCGGGACGGCCCCGCGCGGCCGCCGTACTGACGCGCGCGCCCCGCCCCGCATGACGGGCAGGGTGCGGGGCCAATCACGAGCGGGGGATCGCGGCAGTCCCGCCCCCTTGGCCAATGGCGGCGCTAGGTCTGCCGCCCGCCCCCACGCGTGACGGGCAGGCGCGATGTCCAATCCAAGAGCGGTAGAGTAGAATGGTTCCGCCCCCTGCGGCCAATCGGGGCTCTGATAGGTCCTCCGACCACGCCCCCGGAGTGACGGACGGGGTGCGCAGCCAATCAAAGGCCGGAAAAGCCACAGAGCCTCGCCTCCTCCGGCCAATCACGGCTCTGGCAGACTGAGGGAGCAGCGCTCGGGGAGCTGAGGGAGCGGCCGGGCCCCACCTGGCCGGCTGCGGGCGGCACCTTCACTTTGCACACGGCGGTAACTCCTGACGTAATCCCAGGTCTCTCCCTCTCCACAGCGCTGCCCCTGAGGCCGCGCAGGCGGCACCGCCGGGCGCCTCCCGCATCCTCCCTCGGGATGAGCGACAGCCACGCTGGCCAATCGCGACAAGGCGCTCGCGCCGAACCGCGGCCGCCGCAGCCAATCGGAGATCGCCCGTGGGGCCGCCTGTGGCCGTGATTGGGCGGGGGGCGGGACCTGGGCGCGAGGCGGAAGTGACGCCGTGTCATGGCAACCGCGGGCTGTGCGGGCTGCGGGGGTCCCGCACCCTGAGGGGCGGCCCCGGGGCCTGTCCTTGGGAACGCGGGGTCACTGCGGGCTCTGTCCTTTCCCAGGGCTCCTGTGCGCTGAGCACGCTCCACGCCGCGCTGGCAGAGCGGCCCAGGGGCCGTGGTTGGCGGTGCGGTCACACGGAGGGGTCCCCTCGGTCCTGCTCGGGCTGTGTTGGCCTTTGCAGCGCCCGGGGCTGATTCGGGTGGCAGAGAGCCCATCGACTGCCGGGGGCACCCAGCGGGCATTCCTGTGTGCCACGGACCGCCTTCAGACCTGAGGGAGCCTCCAGGAGAGATGGAGGGGGCTGCGGGGACAGCACGGGGGGAATGGCTGCCCACTGAGAGAGGGGACATCCCGATGGGAGATTGGGAAGGAATCCTTCCCTGGGAGGGTGGGCAGGCCCTGGCACAGGTTGCCCAGAGAAGCTGTGGCTGCCCCTGGATCCCTGGAAGTGTCCCAGGCCAGGTTGGACGGGGCTTGGAGCACCCTGGGCTGGTGGAAGGTGTCCCTGCCCATGGCAGGGGTGGGGCTGGGTGGGCTTTCAGGTCCCTCCCAACCCAAACCAGTCTGACATTCTGGGATCCTCAGCCCTGAGGGTTTTTGTTACTTTGTTATTCCACAAAACCTGTTGCAGGTGACCCCACGTGTTGCCTCCTGTGCCGATCTGGGTTAGAACTTCTGAATGGCAGGGACTCCAATTGCCTGCCAGCAGTTGCTGTTGTTCCTGTGGGGTGGTTGGAGTGATTTAATTTAATGAGGCTTTAATGCCCTGTTTGCTCTCTGGCCCTTCAGACCTCACAGTTTGGCCTCTGTGTTTGTTCAGGTCGCTATGAAGGCCTTGTTTGGGCAGCAGAGCTCCCCTGGAGAGGAGATGACTTTTGTGTTCCAGGAGAGAGTGAGTTCCCATCACAGCAGCCCCGTGAACAGGCAGAGGGAGGGGGGAGTTGGGCTGGATGCCACCAGGGAATCCAAGCACTTCCACCTCCTGGAGGCTGGAAAAGGAGCTGGCAGAACCCCTGCACACACACACAGGGCACTGGAGGGAGGGGAGGGGTGTTTGGCCATCAGGCTGCACTTGCCAAGCGCTGGATTTCTCCGCCCAGACTTTGAAAACGAGCTTTGCAGGCCTGAAAAATGCACCCTGGCCCCACCTGGGAGCCACCCAACCCCTGGCTGGATTTTCTGGTCCCTGGAAAAGCAGGAACAGAGCTTGAGAGGATGATCAGGTTTGGGGTGTTGCTGCTGGTGTTTCCTTTCCTCCTGGGAGTTCCTGGCTCTCAGTGGGGACTGGGATCACAATTCCATCACACCCCCACCATGGAAGGGCAGGATTGTGCTGCAGTGCCTGGGACAGCTCTGCAGGAGCTCTCTGGAGCCACAGAACTCAGCAGGGCTCATGGAAGACTTGAAAGGAGCAGCACTGAACTCCTTCAGAGCATTTCTGGTATCAAACCCGGAGGGTGAAGTAGGAAAGGGAGGCCTCATTAGTTGAACACTTTTGCATGGGAGGAAGCCACCATTTCTGGGACTGTTTCTTTGGCATCATTGGGACTGTTGGAATATTGACCCCAGTGGGTTTGTCAGCATATGAGTCCCAAAGAAGGGGGGAAAAACCCAACAGAAAAATAATGTCAGTGTCTGCAGAGGTTTGGTGAGGTCTGGTGGGCAGTTTGCAATGACAGTGGGAATATAACAGTGATAATAATATAATGTCATAGTGAGAATTGCAGTAATGGAACAGTAATAATAATAATTAATAATAGTGATGCACATGGGGAGGTTTCACTGAGGAAGCATCCTTGTCCTGCCTGCAGAGCAGGCTGAGCATGGGCTGTGGGACAGTCTGGGGGGGCTCCTGGGAGCACCCTGCTGCTCCCTGTAAATGTAACACCTGTAAATGTGTCCTAGGAACAGCTCCCTCCCCCCGGGGACCACGAGGTGAAGGTGCAGGTGAGGGCCTGTGCCCTGAGCTGGCTGGACACGAAGGTATTTGTTTCCCTGGGGAAGCTGGGGGTGTTTGTGCTCTGCTGGGCCGTGGCTGGGGCTGTCCCAGGTCCCTCTGTGCTCTGGGGCTGTGGAGAGGCCCAGCAGTGATGATGGGGAGCTCCTGCACGTCCCCACATCCAGCACCCCGTCATGGGCACGGATCCTTTGGCAGTGGGAGCTCTCCTGCAGCAGCCCCTCTGCCTTCCCTGCACTCCCGAGGCCAGGTTGCCTTGCCTGGTAATACCTCTGGGGGGTTATTGTTTAAATGCTTCTAAAATTCAGTGCAGAAAATGAGTGCCAAAGCTTAATGTGAACTGAGGAAAGCGGGTCCTTTTTTCCCTGGATAACCTTCTGGGAATGGCCCAGCCTCCTTCCTGGGATGGCCAAACACTGTAAGATGATAATAAATATGCACATTTAGAGCCTCAGCAAGTGTTTTAACCACTGTTTTAATTTAGCTTCTGTCAGAAATCAAACTGAAGAAGGACCTTGTACCTGTGGGGCGAGAGATTTCTGGAGTGGTGCTGGAAGGTGAGTCAGTGGCATTGTCTGGGCAGGGGGAGCAGCAATGGGGTCTGGCCATCCAGAACAAATAAACCCTGTCTGTCCAGGACCCCTCTATGGCAGGGGGTTCTCTCACAGTGCATCTGCAGCCCTGGGGATCCACCTGGGCTGGAGTTCCAGCCTGGCTCTCCCAGACTGCCCCCGTGTCCCTGCACGGGACTGGCTGTGGAGGAGGTGCCAGAGTTTAGGGGATGCAACATTTGGGGGTGGGAGGGTGTAATCAATAAATGGTTTATTTTCCCTGGCAGTGTGCATTTTCAGTTCTGTGAGCCAGTGAGAAGCAGAGCTTTCAAGTGCACGTTCCATTTCACTGTAAACATTTCTCTCCTTCCCTCCTTTCCCCCTCCCGGTGAGTTGGGAGCAAGGTGACCTTTTTCCAGCCCGAAGATGAAGTGGTGGGTAAGTCAATGCCCGTTGGCCTCATCACCTGACTCAACCAGAACTCTTTTCACAGTGACTGGCTGAGGTTACAAGAGTTGTTAGAGCTAAATCTGACACGTGTCTTCTGAGATTGAACTGGTGTCACGTGAATATAAACTCTTCCAAATGAGAATTCAAAGTAGGATTAACTAATTAATTGTGTTAACCACCAAAATGTGAATGGTGCCTTAGGAGAGAGGAGATGTCTCTTAGGGACACCCTTTCAGACCTATCTGTATTTGGTGTGCTAAATTAAAGGATTAGGACAGAGTGGGCAGTAAGAATGTGTGTTTGGGGACTGTGGCCCTTCCTGCTTCATTTCCTCATTGCACAGGAACTGCTGTGGGCAGCTCCTGTAGCCTGACAGTTCCATGGATGAGCCCTGGAGAGAGCTGCAGGTGTCTACAAGCACTGTAGGGTGGCCATGTTTACTGGGAATTAGGAAAGACTGGGAGTAGCAGCCAAATTTGCTGAGGGTTTAAGGTCTCCTGGAGTGTAAGATTTGGAGGAGAGGAGAATGGTTTTCCCTGGTGGAGGGGACATTCACTGAGGAGATTGATTGGATGCCAGAATTTCCTGTTCCTGGTCCCTCCTCTGGGGGCTGGGAGCACTCAGTGTGAAATGAGTTCAGACATCACTGACAAGAAGTGAGTGTGCCAGGAGCAAAGCCCACTCACTGCTGTCCCATTCCCTGTGTCCCCAATCCCAAAATGCAGTTTGAGGCCCCTCTGGAGCTGCCTGGAGCCCGTGGGCACTGCAGGGGCCAGGTTTTCTTGCCTGTCACAAACGTGCCAAGAGGTGACTGAAGCCCCACCAAGAGGGCTCAGGGGTTTCCTTGGGAGCTGGTCTGGTTAGAACTGATGCTGGTGTGAAATCCAAGGTCTGTGTTCCTTTCCTTTCAGGAATTTTGCCTCTGGATTCTGAGGAGTCTGGCCTCTGTGAAGTTATCCTGGTTCACGAGCATTATTTGGGTACGTAGATCATATATCTTGCTACTATTTATATTTACTGTATCTTCAGACTTTGGTTTAGCTTTTCTAACAGGGACCTCGTTACCCTGGACCTCTGGGCACCCTCCTTCCATTCCAACATTCCAGCATTCCAGCTGTTCCACCTGGTCACAGAGGTTTGAACTCTCAGAGCTCCCAAGGGCTTTTCCTTTGCTGTTTAAGGGTTCATGTTTGGCCCAAATCACACAAGTTGACTTTGGTTTTTTCCTTTTTCTTTTTTTTTTCCCCCCTCTAACTTTCCTCTTTTTTTGCTGCATTGTTGTTACACTTCTTCCTCACCTCATCTGTCACAAAACTTACTGAGAAATTTGCTTTTCCTCACTTTGACTCAAT